GGGGAGAAAGGGAGTGGGGTTCTGATTCCCCGGCTCCCTCCATGCTGGACCGCCACGAGGCAGGTGCCCCCAGCTGAGGCTGCAGCGTCTGACTGGGCGTCTCTCTTGCAGCCATGCTCTCCCTTGCTCTGGAACCCCCTTCCGTTGCCCCTTCAGGAGCCCCTGGCCTCCAGCTGCTGCTCCTCCCAGGCTGTGTTACCAAGCCTTGTCACCTCAGCCATCCCTGCCCTTCCCCTTATGCAGCCCCTTCATAAAACTCTTCAGTTTCCAATTTGGATGAGCCACCTGCTTCCTGCTGCGACCATGGCTGGTGTGAAACCTTAGCTATTAGTACTGGTGATACCAGCAGTCCTTCTCTGGAGCTTTTCCTCCACCTGCAAGTCTCCTCAAATACCAGCTCTCCTTAGTCAAGCCTTTCCTCAGGCTCCCCCACAAAGCCTGCCCTGTCATTCTCTGTGCACAGGATGGCACTTGTCCCCACCTCTGCCACGGGACTTACCAAGCTGTGTTGGACTTTCCTTCTTCACCTGACTGTCTCTCACTAATCTGTATCTGGTCCCGACACAGGCCTAGGGGAAGGTGGGGAGTGAGGCCACAAGTCCCTTCCCCATCTGAGTTTGCACATCTCTGTGCTTCAGTTTCCTCATCTGTAAAATGGGGATAAAAGTATCTCATAGGACTTCATCATTCTATGAGAGATTAAAATTTGTTTTTTTTAATTATTCATTGAGTTAATAGTTGTTAAATACTTAGAACAGTGCCTGGAAAGTAGCAAGTTCTAAGTGTTTGTTAATTAAACTAAGTAAGAATAAATGAATACAAATTCCACGTTCTCAGCAGCTGGCAGAGAGTGGACCCTCCATAAATGTTGCTGGGATGAATGGATCTAGCTCTACTTCTGCCCAGGCCTTCACACTGTGCATCCCAGATAGTACTGGATTTATCTGACCCATGTTTTATTGTCCTTCATCTTTTCAAGAGACTTGTGTCATGCTACCTAGTTGGTAGCATCTGACCCAGGGCTGGGCACAGCCAATCACTCCCTCCTTCTGCTGGTTCTCCTGCCTTCCTTGCTGTTTCTTCTCCTCTTCCTCTCCTCTACAGATTGGGGTGCTCCGGGCTCTGTTCTGGGTCTTCCTTCCATCTGCACTGTGTCCCTAAGTGACCTCATCAGTCTCTGGGGTTTAAATACCATCTATTCCCCGAGGATTCACTGAGGCTTATCCTAGCACAGACCTCTCCCCTGATTTTCACACTCCTAACAGCTACTGGCCTTCTTTATATATATATATATATATATATATATATATATTATATATATATATATATATAATATATATATAATATATAATATATATAATATATATATTATATATATATATAAATATATATATATATATTTAAACATCTTTATTGGAGTATAATTGCTTTACAATGGTATGTTAGTTTCTCCACACCCACAGCCTCCTAAGTGAGGGTCCCTTTTCTACCCTTGGCCCTCTCAGTCTGTTCTCTACCAGCAGTCAGAGCAACTCTTTTAAAATGTAATTCAGTCATGTCACTCCCCAGCTGGCTTCTCTCACTTAGAACAAACCCCAAAATCCTGAGTATGGCCTATCAGGACTCCACCACCCCTCGGATCCACCCCCTACCACTCTTCATTCCATAATTCTTCTCGGAAACACCATCCTACTTGCTGTTCCTAAAGAAGGCAAGCAAATGCTTGCCTCAGGGCCTTTGTACTTGCTGTTCCCTCTTCCTGGAATGCTCTTCTACATATATCCCCATGGCTCCTTCCCTCATTTCTTTTATGTCTTTGCTCAAATATCACTTCTTCAGAGAGGTTTTCCTGACTATCCTATATCCTCTCGTCACTCTTTGTCCCCTCACCCCAGTTTATTTTTTTCATAGCATTCATTACTACTTGGCATTATATGATACTTCCATATATGATACTTTGGTTTACTTGTTAACTGTCTGTCTTCCCCACTAGAAAGTGCTCTCTAAGAGGGCAGAGACTTTGTTTTGTTATTCAATGGTTAGAGTACTGCCCAGCATATATTAGTAGCTCAGTCAATATTTATTGCATGCATGAATGAATGACTGATTAGCAAATCCCTAGAATGTAGAGGCTCTTTCTGACCTTCTTATTTATCCTCCCAACCTCTTCTGCCAGATTCCTAGCTTTGGGCAGGGTACAGTATAGATGCCCATAAATGCATGATTGCTGAACAGTCAATAAATACTTTTGAGCAAATGAGTTACCAAGTTCCTGCAACATGCAGATGCAGTGAGCACAGGGGCAACCCTCTTTTGAACAGCTGGTTCTCAAAAAAAAAAGAAAAGAAAAGCTGGTTCTCTGGGGTAGAAGTCTTAGTCTCTGTTGCCCGCTCCCTTCACCTTGGTATCCTGACTCCAAGGCTGTGACCGGGAAGGACATGCAAGTACTGCTGGTCTGCTGGTGGCCTTGGGGAAACTGCACAAGCCCAACAGTCCCTGCTCAATGGCCTGGAGACTGTTGGCTCATCCAACAGGATGCCCTGCAGGTATCAGCTGGGAACAGTGTGGTCATTTACCAAATGGTTACCAAATGACCAGAGCAGCCAGTGTTTGAATTCCTATTTAATCCTAACTGTCCTGTGGGGTAAGCACTATGAACCTCATCGCAAAGTTAAGGAAACTAAAGCTCAGCGAGATTAAGTCGCTTGCCCAAGGTCTCACTGGCAGTGAGTGACAGGATTGAGATTTGACCCCAGTTCTACCTAACTCCAGACTATAGACAACAGTGGACATTTGTTGAGGCTTCACTAAGTAAAAGGGTCTATTTAAGCTTCCTACACATGTGTAGATCTCATCTGGTACTCACAATGAACTTACTAGTTAAATATTATTGTTATCCCTATTTAACAAATTGGAGAACTGAGGCACAGAGAGGTTAATAACTTGCTCCAGGGCACACAGCACTTTCCATGACAACACACTACCTTTAAAATGTTACCTCCAATGACTAAGAATTTATTTAGGTTACAAACCATTCCCAAGGGGTAAATTTGCTCTGAAACGCTAAGGAAGGGACATCTTAGAAAGCAATAAAGAGGCAAGGTCTCTCCACAGTTCCTAGATGATCTCCACCCTGGGAGGGGAAGGTTGCTGCTGCCTCCACCCTGGGAGGGGAAGGTTGCTGCTGCCTCCGAAGCAACAGGGCACAAAGTCCAGCCCAGGCCTTGCCCAGCATGCCCTGCCTGCTCACACAGGGGCATTAATAGGTAATGACTTTCGTGATGCGGAAGAGCAGGGCAGTGGAAACACAGAGGCTTGAGGCCCTTTGGAGCCCATGGGGCCTGTAGAAAAGGAAGAGGGGCTAACCCAGGGGCTGAGTCAGACACCAGGGACTCCAGATATAATTCTCTCAAAGAGGCAGAGAAAAGTACCCCATGAGGAGAAGACAAAAGAGGACCCGACATTATTTTCAGCCCAGGGTCAGGAAACTGAAATTCAAGCCTGAGTCATCTTGGGGTGGGGGACGGGCAGTTGTGCTCTTTCAACGTGGGTTGCCTGAAATCTACACTCACCAAACGGCCTCAGCGGCTGAAATTTCTCCCCTCAAGTCCCTTTGCAACAGGATGCACTGGTGAACACTGTCTCACACTCCCCTTGCTATCTGCCAGCCCCCAAACTCCTGCTTGAACTTCTGGTTATCTCTCACCCTTGGGATCCCAAGCCCTCATTTTCAGAAGACTTCCACCAGTATGAGCTGCTCTCTCTGTCCCCCCACCAAACCTTGATTCCAACACTCAGCACCCAGTTGTGGGTAGTTATTAGTGTAGGGTCTGCCTCCCACCCACATGACCAGCAATTTGAGGGCACAGACTGGGTCTGGCACAGAGCGGGTGCTCAAAACATGTTTATTAAATGGACAACTGACCGTCAGCCCCTAGCCCCAAGCCCCTGGCTTTTAGCCCCTGTGGCCTCCACACTGGCTGGCTCCTTGGGCTCCCCTGGGCCTCTGTGTGGCGAGAGAGGGGCTAAGCATCCTGACCTTGCCTACCTGACCTCTGCCCCCTCAGGCCTGGGAGGGGGGTTGGCTTGGTCTAAAGACACTGCCCCTCTGGACAGGCCTCAAGGTACTGTCATCCGTCCCTCAGGCAGGGCCTGTGGGTAGCTCCAGACACCCCTGCCTTTATCCTTGGGCTCTGAGGCATCCTCAGGCCTGGTGGGGTGGTCCACTGGTTCCCTTCAAATGGTCCTCTTTGACCTCAGGGCCTCAGTGACTCCTGCACAGCTCTGGAAACAGTTCTGGAAAGCCTGGGTGAAATCCAGTAGCTTTCCGTGATGGTCTCTGAGGATCCTGGGCCACCAATGAGGCCCCTCACTGGGACACACCAGGGGAGAGCCCGAAGGCTCTGGCTGACTGCCTGAGCCTCCTCCCTTCCTCCCACTGCCCCCTGGCCAGCCCCAGGTCCTCAGCTACTTCTCAGGCCGCCAGAAATGCCCTTAAGTGGGAAGGGGGCTGCCTGGAGTGCTTCGAACTGGAATTTTGAGGTCAAAAGACAGAAGGAAGCATCCACTTCCCCTCTCTACAGTCCTCACCTCTCAGACACTACCCCAAACCCTCTCCACACGTTCCAACAGCCCAGAGCTGGAAGCACCGGGAGGGAGGGGGTTTGCCCACTATGGGCTATCTCAGAGAAATATCCTGTCTCAGACCAAGACTGGAAGGAATTCTAACCCCAGGGAAATCCCAAACCTGGAGCGCAGAAAGAGAAAGGACACTTTAAGGAGATCAGTTTAGTGGTTCCTATACCTGGAGTCCCAGTGCACCTCCCTCATTTTACTGGGGATCCCTGCTGGCAACCAAACGACCCTCGGGGTCCCAGCCCACCCAAAGCCCCAGGCCCTGCTGGGAAAGCGAGGGGTGGTGCCGAGGGTGTCCACTTCCCACCCACTCCGCCCCGGACTCCGGGGTCCGGGGCGCTTGAGGGGCCCCTAGCAGCTCTGACCTTGTGCCGGAATTCTCGGGCCACCTTCCGGTCCATGGCTGAGCCAGATCGAACCGCTTGCTACACAACTAGCTCCTTCGGGTGCGGGGTGCTTGGTTGCCCCGAGCCGGCAGAGGCGGCGACCCTGACAGGCGGGGCCAGGGAGGGAGGGGGCGTGGCCTGGGA